AACTGGGAGCAATTCCGCCTACACTCTAATGAGTGTGGTGCAGGAGGCCAGTCTTTAATCCCTTTTTCTTCCTTTTGCTAATAAGAAAAGGATGGAAAGGGAACGTGGATTTTACGGTGGAGGAGACGCATAGAAAAGGGAAACATCCTATTTATATGCGTCGTCTTCAATTAAAAGTAGGCAACGCATCTGCAATTGCGGATGTATATGGGCAGTTTGGGTGGATTCAAGTGGCCGCTTGCTCGTATCATATTAAAAAAACAACCATTGTTAACTAGGGTAAGTATTACTGCATTCTTAATATCGGAAATTGTAAAATAACCTAATTCATAATAATAAATAATTACGTAATTCTATTATTTGATTTAAAAAAAATACAAAACAAATCATCTTGTAATACTTTTAGTCGCCATTTTGCTTTTCTTGGCTTTCGCTTATCAAATATTCATAGAAATAACTATAATTGTATATATTTAAAACTTCCATTCCTCTAATTATTCATAGGTTAAAAATTACCATTTATATATATTTATATTATGATGCTATATATTTTACGTAATGAAATTGTAAATAGCTTTTTACTGTTCTAGTCAACTTTAGAGCATTCTAGAAACGAAATTCAAGGCCTCCAAATAAAGTAATGAAATATTATGTATAGATAATAAATAAGAGAAACTCAAGTAGAAATATATTAAAAAAGATTTATTGAAACGTTTTTAAATTTAAAACATTACTGAATTAAAATAAATAATTATCTATGTTAATAACCTAAGCATATAAATGATTTTTAAATATACAAACCTCATAATTTCAAATTCAACATTCAAATGCACTTTCATTAAAGTGAAAGCCCTTAACCAGATATCGGTTTTAAAAAGTAATAAAAAGTTCCCTAAGAGTAGATTTCCATTTGCATATAAACATTATTGCTGTCTGTTATTTTAAATACAAGAATAATGTTCACTAGTCGTTTAATAATGAAACTCAAACTATAACAAAATAAAACCGTAACTATGTAAAACAGCTAAAACCACTGATCTCTACACATAGATAGATTACAAACTTCCCTTTATCTCCGTCATTTTGGCGCTGAATGTTGCTGTAGAATTTTCTAACTAATACTAGTAATGACCACTGTCTTTAACATCAAAAGGCACACTTAAATCGGACCAAGGCGTAAGTTATTTTAATACAATCGCCTATCTATTTATACAGATCAGTGGCTACATAATTTTCTGACATTGATAGACGTCAGTAAGCTGTCATAAATTAGTTGGATTTATGTCCATGTTATATGTATAATTTGACAGTTGTTAAGTATTTTGTACATAAGATTTATAGAAACTGTAGATGTATTTGTTAAATATTGAAAAGAAATGCTTGTAGATTTTCCTTGTATTTATTATTAATTAATAAATGTAAATGTAGATTTTATAATTAAGATATTTAGTACTTATTGAACTGCCAAAATATAATCAAATGTCGCCAAAGTATGTAATTGTGAATAAACGATATTGAAAAACCGTTTATCTTTTTACTCATTAGTAAATATACATAACTAGCTGTTCTCGTGCGACTTCATCCGCATAATGAAAATTTTATTTTATTATTTACATGTGTCAAAATATTAAAAAAAGAGTTATTCAAAAACATGCTGTATTTACTGACATCTTAGGCAATAAAGAAGTGTGTGTTTATACTTTATTATAATAGTATAGATATAGATTATTACTGTACTAGCTTTCGTCCGCGACTCCGTTCGCATGGAATTAAAATTAATAAAAGTTTATATCGATGGTTTTCTGTTAGAAAGTATCTCCAAAACACTAAACGTATTGCGAGGAAAAAGTATTATAGTTACTTCATATTCCTAGTATCTTGATACATTTTCCTTAATAAAGCAAAAGGGGAATAACATATTTGAGAATACTAAGAAATTTTGTAATGCTGACAAAAATAACTTTTAACAAGTAACCTATAAAATAAATTTGAATCGTTCCCACGTTTAAAAATATGAATAAAATAAATTCATACAATTTATTATCTTTGAAAAAACAGTGATATAAGAATTTTGAATTCTCTCTCTCTCTCTCTCTCCGGATCGTTTCCTCATTCCTGAGGGTCGCGACCATTCTGTGCGATTCTCTGCGACATGTATGGCGTTATGAATAGTTGTGTTGAGAGTGTTCAGTCATGCCTAAATATTTATCCGACCCATTCGTGCGAAGATGTTAAAGCGGGCTCTATCACTGTTCACTGTCAGATAAGGGAACAAAATCCGATATTTCCATCACATATTTTACACGTTGGATGGTTATCAGACAATTTACAATTTGGTGGGACAGGCCATAAACCTGTATACACATTTTCCGACAATGAATACATTATTGACGACTACGTGAATTAAATTTAAAACCCAAAAGCATACAATTTTTTTTTTATTTTATAAAGTGGACAGTTCGGATTAAAAAATCACATTTTAAATACACATTTAAGCAGTGTCTCATAAACACAGTAGATTTCACAAAACCCGTTCACTATGCACCTCGGAGTTTAACTACGCTTAGATAAATATATTAACAATTAACAATAAATTATTTAAATGTCTCCAAAACCTGTTTTCTATGGTGAAAAGTTTTCTATGAATAAAAAAACACCACTCGTTATCTACGCGCTTGGTCGTCAAGGAGACAGTAAGGCAAATCCTTAGTGTATATTTACAGTAACCAGCAAGCTACCTCCGGTATTCGTCAAAATAGTTGCTCGTAGACGCAGTAGCGTTGTCAACGGCTGGATCCAGGGGGTGGGGGGTGGGGGGGTCATGACCCCCCCCTGAGCTGGTTGGTCAAGAGCTTAACAAAATATATTTACATACTTTGTCAAGCTCTTGACTTGACCACGACTATATGACCCCCCTATGCCCCTTTGGCGCCAAAGCTGGATCCGCCCTTGTGCGTTGTTTACCTTATCAAATCAAAGAAAGGACCCGGAGAACGAGGTTATTTCCCCTGATTATGCGTCTATCACGCAAAATCCTTTTCCTATCCTTTCCTAGTACGAAGACAGTGAGAAGGGGAGAGGATTAAAATTGGCCTCCGGCACACGAACTGTACAAGGAATTACTTCTACTTGTAAGTTTGTCTTCATTGTGGTCGTGGCTTAGGTCGAATTTACACATTTTTACATTTATCATTTTTAAGAACGAAATATGAACGACTACAACATGTGTTGTATGAAATTTGGCTGTTTATTGAGAAGCTAAAAATGGTCTAAAAATGTAACTTTGATGTAAAATGCAAAATAAAATCCAATCTCTGGTCTAACAAATCAAGCGCAAATTCTCTCAAGTGAATTGGAGAATGCGTCAATCGTGACGTCATCTTCAATCAACTGAACACGCGTAGAAACCAAACGTCGGTATTTCCCAGGAAAATGTAATAAAAACGTGATTGATTTTGTACTATTAAAACATTGTTGACACTAAAGTAATTTCGATTACTTGACATAAATGGTATTTTATTACTGGAATTCGTACAGAAATATATTTTTACTGAGGTGGCAGTACGATTCTGTATGTTTTGGCAATAAAAAACACGTTAAGTTCTATATTATT